CTAAACCCATATGAAGACACACAATCAAAATTACCATTAAGGAACTGAGAGTGCAGCTCAGTGACAGAGCACTTGCCTATCATGTGCAAGGTCCTGGGTTTATCCCCAGCACTACAGTAAAACAATCTACAAAACCCCATTGCAATATTTTTTTCAAAACCAAAAAAAGGAAGTAGAAGACATTCAGAATTGATCAGATATGTATGCAAACAATTTAGAGCATGCAACCTTGAGTACTTATGCAAAGTAGGAGCATCATGAAGCTTTTTACGACCATGGCTCTTCTTCATGGGTATACCCTTATTAACAGATACAACCTGTGAGATTTGTGCCCTTTGATTGTGTGTTGAAGCTGGGAGTCACACTGGAGACATCTCCTCCAGTATCAAATGAGGCTCGACCAGTTTTTGCAGCAGCAGTACACTTACTTACACATCCCCTGGCCACACTGCTAGGTGAGCAAGACCCTGGTCAGAATAGAGCCTCCAAGTCTACCATCAGATCTGCAAAGCAAATCCAGAGACCTTCCTGCTGGAACTCTGCCTGCAGTCGTGGTTCATGGACCGCACAGAAGGAACCTTATGCAGCCTGCCACAGGAAGAAGCCCTTCCAGCAGCAGGTAGGAGGAGTCAAAAAGGCCCAGAACCTATCCTTCAGGCAAGGCAGCACCACAGAGCAAGAACTCTGCACCCTTTGTGTGAGGTATTGCAACTGAATGGTCGTGGGGTCTGGGTAAACCAAACCCAGGAACAAAATCTTGCTCACTGTACAAGTAATCCATTTAGATTCTTCTATTGTTAAAGCACACACACACACCCTCCTTACATGCTCCTCGAAGAAACAAAGGTATGTATGTACACAAGCCTGGTTGAGGGGAATTTTCAGAAATATACTGTTCCCTTAAGGAGCATTAGTTAAACAAAACTATAAGGGAAAAATTCAGAGTATTTTTGTTGTTGTTTTTACTACCCGGGGCTATATAGTAGTCATGCAAATAGCAGGGAATTTGTCATTATGAGTAACCACAGGTGTATAAAATAATTTGATTAAGTAAAATAGTTACCTTAGTCATCATACTAACTTGACAAGGACTTTAAATATGTTCTTCCGCTGTCAGCTTCTAGACTAGCTACATAAGAGAACCTATCTTCAAAAAGATGCTTCTATGGAGAAAAGAGAAAATAGCAACCGTGGCAGCTAACTGTTAACCTACTGAATATTCTCTGGCCTAAAAATAAGTGACTATCAAGCAGACAGACAGCGTGTCATTAGCCACACTCAGTCATCTATGTCGCTACTCTGTAACCACAACCTCAAACACACTTCTGCATAACTTAAATAGAAAAAGGCTCACCTCTGCTTCACAGGGCTCCCCTGAAGTTCCCAGAGGCTACCCGGGGCCTTTATTTCATGTGCATCCTGAAGCAACTCAAAAAGCTTCTCTGCTGAGCTTCATTCACAATTGCCTAAGGTGTCAGCAGTTTTAATTTCCTGTACACATCCTTATCTCCCCAAGTCCTCAGTAATTCCATAACATAGACAAATCCGTCTCTGCAGGGTTGCCTGGCTTGCCACGTCAGTAAGCCTCCACAGGGCACAGACAAATCTACACAAATGGCTTTCTCTCCAGCCAGTTCCCATGACCATCTTTCAACAGACCAAGACTTCCACAGCAGGTATATTCCTGCAAATAGGGCGTTACAGACAGGAGCCACTGGAAGTAAATACCCAGGTACCAGAAATACACATGGCTTTGTCTTGGACAATACAGGTAAGGCACAATGACCATTAAACTCAGTAAGCCTCTTCTAATGCAATTTATCTATGTCTACATCTACAGACGGATCATAGTCAGCCCAGCTGTTGAAGATGCTGCAGCACATCATTGTTCTAAGTGCTGATTTCAGAGTTTCTGCCTAAACTGGGTGGCACCTGGATTACCTTATCTATATTGTCCTACCAAAATCTATCACAGATGTCAGGGTCCTAGTCCTCTTCACTTCCTGGAAGACTGCAGAACCCAAGCGAAAAGCTGCAGGGTCCCAGACTAGCATGCCTTGTTATATACAGTTCTTTGAGACCCCTACACAGGCAGGTTCTTGAGAGAAGCCGATCAATCAAAATCTCAACCTCTCAATCCCTCCTTTCTCGCCCCCTCCCCTCTCTCCCTTTTGTTCCCTCTCCAACCCTTTCCCCTTTCTATCCCCACTCCATCCATTTCCCTCTCTTTCCTACCCCTTTTTAACACCACACCTCCACCCCCAGGGCACACACACAGGCGGCCTACTTGAGGGGGGGGGCGGGCACTTCTCAAGTCACAGGCCACTTCCTGCCTCACTTCTGCAGTTGGGAAACCTACACCAATGTCGCTGAGGACACACTAAGGACAACGAGGAATCTGTCTCTTCAGAATGAAAGTGAAAAATGCAATGATGCTTCCCAATACTTAAAAGCAGAAAGGCACCCAAGGAGATTAAAAACCACAAGGTGCCTGCATGGCCGCTAGACATCACATAGGAAATAATGCCATTGACTGTGAACTTGCAGCCATCCTTCTTAAGGAGACAGGAAGATTGGCTGGGCGATGCCCCATAGAGCAAGCTCTTCATCGGGCATCTGAAAACACTTTCTCAGAAGAGCGTGTGATTCCCACTGACGACATCACATGTGTGCACACCCCTTGCGCATGGACCACCTGCGTGCCTCTCTCTCACAGACAGAGTCTCAGGTTTCCTAGGAAAGATGCTATGAGATTTTAAAAGGAAGAAAGCCGCCTTTCCCTTGACCCTCCTGTAATAAGTGATTTCCTCAAACATCCAGACAGAAATCTCCCGTGGTTGAAAGAAAACCAAAACTTTCAACACCTGCCCAAACGACAGAGGAAGAGAAACCTCTTAAGTGACCCAGAAGACCAAAGTCCTGTGGCAAGCTGACTGGGCCAATCCTGGTAGCTCCCTAGTCTTCACATGAGGTTCACATAGCAAAGGGAAGTCAGGGACAGCGGGGCTGGGCAGGGCTCTGAGAATATTATGCTTACACTGCTAGTGATTAAAAGTAATTCAATTTCCTTGGTCATCCTCTCCTGGGCCTCCATCTGCTTTATGCAAGGCACCTGTTGGCTCCTGTTACCCTTTACCCACCTCCCCCCACAAGACTTTCCATCAGGGACAGAAGTGTCCAGATGCCACCAGCAGGTGGACGGAATGCCTCCTGCCCTCCCTTGTCCTGAGATTCATGGTAACCCCTCATCTCCCAGGGCCAGCCCTGCATGGGGAAGTTTCCCATAGTAGAAGGACTTGCTTTTTAACTTTCCAAAAAGAACGAGGCCACTCATCTGCTTGAGGAAAGACTTCACTTCCTTCTAAAATCCTTAAGTTGCTACAAGCAAAAACCCCTAAGCTCAGGCATTCATCATTCCTGGGATGGAAAGTATAGCCTTGCTGTTCTCCACATGTGAATAATGCACTCTTAAGCAAAACTGGTTTGAGGCAAAGGAACTGTTAAACAAGGGCCAGCTGTTGAGAGACTCATTGCCTCCTTTTACATGAAGACCCAGTTATATAGAACAGTTTGCATATGCTACAGATTCACACCTATCGGTAGTAATGTGCGTTTGCCTCTAGTAACACATGTACCTCTAAGTATTTTAGCAGGCAAATCGCCCCTACAGAAGCTGCCCCTCCAAACAGCATCCTCATCAAGCAAATCCAAAAGTTTGCAGTGTACTTTTACAACTGTAGACAAAATGAATACATGTGCTACAACAGAACACTCTCAACCTCAGGATATAGTGACAACATATATGCACAAGGCTGTTCATTAAGGGAAGGGCAGCAAGTGAATTTGATTTCCTAAATGTCCTGGAGTTCTGTCACCTCAGGAGCAGAATTGCATCCACACAGGTCTCCCCACATAACTAATTCTAACCAAGCACTACTTCACCTTAGCCTGTAGGAGCTTGGGTAATTGTTAATGGTCCTGGATACTCGGAGTCTGGCCCTCATTAACTTTATTTAACCCAGGGCTGGGAATGAGGGAGATTCGTGATAACATCGGGATACACATGGCTCTATCTCTGGATGTGGTTATCCAACCGCTTTTGAAATCTTGTCCGACTCGATCTCCATCAAACGTGCTCACTAACACTTAACATCTATGACATTTGATTCCAGTTTCAGGTCAATAGCCAAGTAAGGGTTTAACACTATGCACACTGAGACATCTTTTCCTGCTAAGACAGGACCGGTCTGGAAGTGCACTGTCTGAAACTCAAGTGCGGACCACCTGAGCACTGCAGGAAAAAGCAACAAAGTAGGTACTTGACAGTGCTGAGTCATTACAAGCGGATTCTTTGGTTATAGTAGGCGTCCATGGGCCTTTTGAGCATCAATAATCCCTTTCTAGAGGCAAATAAAATAGATACATTTTGTACACAGTGATCACTGCCTGTGTGGGCGAGAGCGACCACGGTAGGGAATTAAGCTAGAACTACACAAACTCGCAGCTGCTCTCCAGGTACTGTAACTTTATCCCCACACTGAAAGATGGCTATTGGGATCTGGGTGGGACTATTCCCCCTACAGCAACCACTCAGATCAGGGCCACACTCCGGCGCCTTTTACTCTAAGCTGTTAAATTCCCCCCCGGCAATTGGCGGATGGAGAAAGAGCTTGGGGAAAAATGATGCATAATGATTCGTTCTCGGGGCGGATGAAACGGAGAGTAGAGGACGCAGGATGCTAACTGGCTTTTCCTCCCATGTGCAGGTCACCTGAACAGTGATGCCTTTCCAGTCTCCGAGGAGGCTCCCTGACCTGAACTCGCCATCTGGTTCCGTTTTCAAGAGGGAAGAAGAAACAGTTGCATGCCCACCTGCCCGCAGCGACACCACTCCGGCACCCCCGCCCCGGCCCCCAGCCCCTGCCAAGCGCACGAGCCGCTGCCGGCATCCACGGTCCCGCCCGCTCCGGGCCGGCAGCTCCCCCGGCGGCCGCCTCTGCACCAGTCGCCAACCTCCAGCCCGGCCGAGGTCATGCCCGCCTGCCCCCAGCGCCGGCGAGGCCCCCTCCCGGTGCCAGGCAGCCCGCCGGAGAAGCGCTGGCAGAGAAGGGGGTCCGTGGCAGAGTTGGCACCCGGACTCACCAGGTAGGCGCCCACTGTTCCCTGCGCCAACATCAAGGCGCACTCAGACACTAGGAAGATCTTGATGTTGGAGAAGCAGGACACCTTCTTTTTCTTCTTCTTGTTCCTCTGCGCCTCGTCCCCCTGCAGCTCGCCGCTCCGGCCGCCGCCCGACGAGCCTCCTGGCTTCTTCCCCTGCATCCTTCCCCCGCCGCCGCTGCCGCCGCCGCCGCTTTCCCGCTCGCCCTGGGTGTCGTGGCCGTTGCCGGGCGGGGGTGCGCGCCGCGAGGCTGCGTGCTGTCCCCGCCCCGGACCCACGGCGGCCGCCCCCGTCCTGCCGCGGCTGGAGAGGTTGAAGGCTCCGCTCCTCACGGCCGCCGCGCTCGCCCCCTTCCTCCTCCTCCCCCCCTCCTCCTCCTCCGCCCTCCCCTCGCCGCCTCCTCCAGCTCGGGCTGTGCCAATCACAGGGACTCCTCGCGCCGCCCGCCGCTGCCGCCGCTTCACCTCCCTCAGACGCCCGTTTCTGCCTTCACCTACTCCCCCTGGCCCCCCCGGCCTCGCCTGCTGTCACCCCTAGCGCCCCAAACCTGGCCACGGCCTGATCGCTGACTTGAGCCTCGGGCTGCGCCGCTACTGGCTGCGGCTTAGCCTCTGGGAGGCACGAGGGGACCTATCTGGGGCGCTGGAGGCTGGCTGATGGTCACGGCCCGCGGGGTCTAGCTGCCCCGAGAAATTGTAGAATCGGGGAGTCCTAGTGAGGTGGGAGGCTGAGCGAGGAAGGTGCTGCCCGGCCAGTAGGAGGCACTGTGTGGCCCTGGGCTCCGCGGCGGAAACTGGGTGGTAGGTAGTGCGGCTAGCAATGGGGCACAGAGATGGGGGTGCCCAGGCACCCTACTTTTAGTCCCGGTTCCTAATGCTTAGGTACCCGATTGTTAGAGCAGGAGAGGAGGAGCTGCTTCCATAAAGAGAGAATCCCGGGTACTGGTGCTGTATTCGGCTTGGTTCGGGAATTTCTGGGGACAGTTGTTGCGCTCTGGGGCTCCGGAAGATGCCAGAGGTCCAGGGGCTTCTTCAGTCAGCCAGTCTTTGCTCCTGCACTCGGTGGCTACTGAACCTGTCTAAATCGCCCATTCCCCGAAAATGGGAGAAAGAAACAGAAGCGCCGAGAAGGGAAGTTAGATCTTAAGGGAGTCTTCACTGACTGATGATCGCCCCCCAGCCACGGACTACAGGCAGCTGCAGGTCACAAGGACCCCAGCAGAGGGCTGTGTTTAGTTCTCCAGCTGCTTAGTAGACTCCAGGAAGCAGTGAACCACAAGCCTGCCCTGTCCCCACCCATCTCCTGACTATGTGGCCCTCCCTGACCCTGGCCTGAAGGTCTGCCTGCAGCAGAGCCCTATTGTCATCCGTCCTCACCCACGGCATTCCCTGATACTTTGGTTCACAAGGCACTTCTGATAGATATACCAGTTCCAGCAACAGCGTTTGGAAGCTAAGGGAAAAGTGGGCAGAACAAAAAACATGTAGCAAATGAAAGTTCAAACCCATCTGGAAAACTTTTCTTTACTAGTCATATCAAAAAGAGAGACTCACTTTGCCCTGGGGTCTATATCCCAATGCCAAGGTTCTCATTTAAAAGTGCATAGCAATTAGCACTGCCATAATTTCTACTTTCTTCCAGAGAAATTGAGTAAGAATAGATGGTGGTGGCACAGTGGGGGTGTGTTGTTTGCCTTAGCATTTAAATATAAATTTCTTCATCCATCTGTCTTCCAGACATGACCTCACCTAGTCTTGGTGTGGTTTTCAATGTGTTTCTCCTTGTCTGGGGTAACTTCTGCCCAAATTACTCCTTGGCATCAGTAGCTACACTGTTCTCCACCAGTGGTATTGTAACTGGAGTTGTTAGGGTCAAAGCTTGAGCCCTGGCACCCCTGACAATATGCCCTCCATATGCCAATTAAAGGGGCAAAAGCAGAGAAGAGAGATCAATTCAATGTGGTTACATTGAGAAGAATTTAGATCAATCTAGTGATCTCCCCCGACCCCGATTGCAGCTTCTGTGTTCTGCAACCACTTGAGCTTTAGAGTACAAAAAAACGTTATGCATCACCAAGTTGTCCTGGCCATCATTAACCCATGGCCCCCTGAGTTCCAGTCTCAATGAGGTGGTCTGGCAAGTTGTCAGAACCCTGTGGAGTATCTTCATGGTAGACAAATTACTCCTGTGGCTGGCACCCTATTCTTCTCCGGGCATGAGGTTGGTAGGGAAATTTCAGTTCCTTTAGAACCGTTAATTCAATAGTTTGATTGCCGAAGGAAAGGAGCAGAAGTGTCTCTGGGCTCCTGTCTGGACCTATTACACCATGGTTAAAATCCTTACCGCCTGGCTGTCTTCCCTCCACCACCTCTGGTCACGCATTGCCAGCTTTCTTCAGGATCTTCAGTTTCTTGCCTTGTCCCTTCTCCAGGCTCTGGCCTTACAGAATCCTTCCTCACTCAGGATTCTGTAAGGGTCAGGGGTGGGAGTGTGTGTGTGTGGGGGGGGTCCTTCCTTGTCTCTAGATATGAGTTGCAAGACTGCAAGTTAAAATGTCATTCTGAGTGCATTAGTCTTAGAGACTTATTTACATGCCCTCTCATCACAAGTGCTGATGGTTATTTTGTGCTTGCCTTGAGCAAGCTCTCAGTGCAGCTGGATTTTACTGTAACCCTCAGCAACCTTCTAAACTAGATGTTGTGGTTAGCCCTGTTTAGTGGGCAGACTGCACCTGAGAAGGGCGACTAACCTGACCAAAGCTACTTACTCAGGAAGGGTTGGCAGAGCCAACAGGGTGTCTGCTGTCACATCTTATAGTCTGTCTCATCAGGAAGGTGCAATTCACACTGGTCCCTGGATGAGCAAAGATTCAAAGAGGTGTAACAGATAGTCCAGTGTCACACAGCTAAAATGAGACAGGTCTTGAATCCAAGTCCAGCTGTCTGCTCTAAAGCACGTTGCCTCATGTAGACTGAGGGGAGGGCAACTTAGCTTTATTTTAGATCTACAACATGAGCTACCTGTAAATAAATTAGGCATACATCCTATCAGACACAGGGCTTTAGATTCAGACTGCCCATTCTTCCTATAATTGACAGTTGTGAATGCCAGACTGCACCAGAAGACTTAAGAATTCAATAAGTCAGTTATTGGCTTGGATGGTGTGTAAGAAGGAATTTCGAGCACTTCAGCACCCTTCATCCTGTTCAAAGATGTGGCTCCAGGCTGATGGGGGTAGGTTTGTGAATCCCGAGAGCTTCCATGTTGTTAACCCTGATACACAAAGGAAAAGGCAGAACATTAACCATCACTGGGTCTGCACAGCTCACAAACACTTATCAAGTTGTGATGGCTGCTGCCTTATCCATCCCACATACATGGAGATCTGGGTCTACTGAGCCCATTACTACTAAGAACGAGCAACAAGTGGCTGTGTGGTACTTGGAGAAGATGGCAGGAGTTGAACACGCATGCTCCCGCAGGAACTGATAGGGGTACCTTAAAAGAAAAGAAATGAGAGGAAGACGCAGGCTAGGGGGCTTAGCTCTCTTGATGCCAGCATCACTCCCTCTTCCCAGCTTTAGAAATGGACAGTTCACAGCGACATGGAGAGCAAGACAAAGTCTAAAGACAAGATGGCCTTGATATTGCCATGGAGAAACAAAAGCTTTCCAGTGTCCAGCTGAGGTCTTCTTGGTCCCCATATCCCCCTAGTGGTGAGTAGTGAATTTAGGAATGAGACCTTGCATTTGTTTTGGATTTTCTATCACTTCTCTGGGCACGGTAACGCTTCACAGTTAGAAGAAAACATTGCTAGTCAGGCCTTGGCTCTCAGATTGTTATTTTGTTGGCTACTGGCAGTATTCTGGACACTGGAAAGTCACGTAATCATGAAATCTGACCCAGGAAAGCCAGAAGACTATTTCCTGATGTGGGAAGACAAACTGACCTCAAAGTCCCAAAATATTAACATGTAATAGGCAAATACTGAGTGGATGGGATTTGCAGAGCTTGTCTCTCCCACTGAAGATGAGAAGTGGGTTAAGTTCATGGTCACACACACACACACACACACACACACACAGTGACAACCTTCCACGGTCCCTGGGCTGTGGTAGGATTTTATAACAAGAGGCCTCAATGGAATTCAAGACAATGAGAAACTGTTGTTCAGGTAATTCATACAAGTCCTTTTTTGCTAGCTTCAATGCACAGAATGATTTCTGATTGTCAGTGGGATGGAAAAACAGTTGCTTAGATACTTACCCTGTAGATGGTGGAATATATACATATATATTATACATAAACAATATAAAGCAAATAAACAACATATAAAATAATATACATTATTATTGATGTAGATTATATATTAATAATAATACCATCATTATTATTACTCAAGGATAGAATTGAAACGAAGCTACCTTCTTTAGCTTGAAAGTGATGTTTGTACTTAGCTGAAGTTTCTTCTATTCCTTATAGTCTTTCTCTTCCCCCAAACCATTTTCCAGTTTACCTGGTATATGCCTGTCTATCAAATCCCCTGTTAGCTAGCCTCTATATGCTGAGATTCATATTGTAAATTATTTCTCTTAATGTGAATATGTCCTGAAGCTCAACAAAGAATAAAAAGGATAAACATTTCTGTAGACGCAATTTGCAACCAAGTGAATCCAAGATCCAGCTGGAAAAAGAGAAGATATGAGAGCATGGATAGAAATTGGAGAAGTAACAAGGGTTAAGTAGGGTTTCCAGAAATGTGCTATATTCATGACAGATTAGTTTTGAGGTGGAGAAAAATAATAAAAATATATTCTTAGCCCTGTTTGTGCTTTCAAGCTCTCCCTTTAGGGTCTTCTGTTGGTTTGAAAGTAAATAGAACTTCTTTATCCAAATAATGCTATTTGATGCCTGGCATAAAAGAGTATGTGCATATGTGTCATTATTTGAAAAAAAAATTCAGCCTAAAGTCGATTCAAAAGAGACCAGTATTGGACTGTATTTTAGTATGATATTTGTGTTTGTTTCTGATTTTGAGCTTTAGGAAAAGAATCATCTTCAAAGGAGATGCTGGACGTTTTCATGCTGATGGAGCCAGCACACCGGCAGCCTGCAGGGAAAGCACCTGGACCACTCAGGAATAGCTGGGGCCTTGGGGGTAGCATCCACCTGCTGTTTGTCTCGTGTCTGGTTGTTTCAGCAGTACATCTGAACTTCAGGACAAAAGAAAGGATGTTGGACTTCAGCTCACAATAGCTGCCTGCATGTTTCTTTTCCAGTATCTGTTCAAACACCCAAGAACATTCCAAAAGGATGCCAGGACATGAAGGAGACAAGAGTCAGGATGCAGAATAGAGCATTTAGATTCTTGACGAAGTTGTCCCTAACACAGGAGCAAGGATGAGCACCTCCTGCCTTTGTAGGAAGGCAGAAGGTAGCTCTGTATAGGAATCCAGGCTGGCTTCTCAACCAGAAAGCCTGAAAGATCCCCCCTGACCCACCGTACACCCTACATTCTCATCTTGCTGGGTCTACCTGTGCAGCTATAGCTCCCAGCAATGCACCATGGGACTTGGTGAAGGGAAAGCTAATTGTGGAGTAAGTCCTAAAATGCAAATGAAATCAGGAGATTTTTCATATGGATAATGTGGACCACATTGTAGTTGTTATTTGATGCCATATACTAGCAAGCCAACCTATAACTTAGTGGTCTAAAACAATGATACTGACTTGACCAATCTTTATTCTTCAGTCAGAACTGGAGAGCCTAGACTGGTTGTCAGCTAAGAGAGCTGGAAGGCTAGGCCAGGGGATCCTGTGGCTTCTCATTTGGATTTTTATGACTTTATCTTGGCCTAGGAAGACTGAAATTCCTGGGGATAAGAACAGCTGTTAGTTATTCTGGTATTATCCTGTTAGTTATTTTGCTTGTTGTCATGATGAACTTCCTGGTAAGATGCTACTTAAGGAGCTTACTTGACTTGCTATTGGAGGTTCTACAGTATCTCATGGCAGGTGCAGCAGGTATGGCTGCACACATTGCATCCATAATCAGTAAGCAGAAAGTGGACAGGAAATCCTCAAGGCTTGTCCACAGTGGCCCACTTCCTCCCAGGAGGCTCTGCCTCCTAAAACTCCCAAACCTTCCCACTCGGCACCACCAGCTGGAGACTAAGTGTTCAAAACAATAAGCCTATGGGAGAACATTTTCACATTCAAACTATATCAACCTCCCTGGACAAATAATAACAGAAGGCAAATTTGAGCTTAATTGAAAAAGAAACACATAGGCAATTTAAAATACTGCACCACATTTTCAGCAAAAATGCCAAATAAAAATGCACAGACATAATCATGAAAATTTGTTTGCATATAAAAGATACTTTTAAAACAATTCTACAAACATCCAGAGAAAAATACAAATGCTACTACTTAGGATAAAAATGAAGCACAGTGAGTTGACAATACAGCCCAAGAATAGATGCCCCCAAAGAGCACAGTGTAAGTGGTATTGGGAGGAAACACGTGTGACCAAAATGTCAATTTGTGAAGATGACGGTGCAAAGAGAAGCAATCTAATGAAGATCTGATCAAAAGACTCCCTTCTGTACTTTCACGCTAAAGCCAAAAGATCCTCTCTAAGGAAGCAGCATGTAAGAGACAAAAAAACTCATGAATAGCAGAGACACATTCAAAATTATTGTGACAGTTCCAGACAAACACACCAAATTAGGTTTTAAAATGTTGAAAAAATATTAGGATAAATACATTTTTTTGCTTTCTTGAGATTACTATAAACAAACACAGTAATTTATTTGTCTATGGTTTAAATGATGTTGACAGAAATGTGGGAAATGGATGCTCTGAAGAAAGGGGAGGATTGGTTGGCTTTCCATTGGTAGAGTGGTTACCTCGGCACACACAGAACCCAAATGCCATCCCAGAACCACAAATACCATAGATCCAAGGTCATCCTCGGCTACATAGTAAGTTTGGGGTCAGCCAAGGCTACATGAGGCCTTTCGAGAGGAAGGAAATTCTTCATCTTTTCAACGAGGGTGTCAAAGTTTCTGTATTACTGATGGGCTCCATCTCCATGGCATACACCTGGAACCCTGTGGAGAGGCAAAGGCAGGACGGCAAGTATGAGGCCAGCTTGAGCTGCAGCATAAGCTCGATCTCAATAAAGGTTGTAGGCTTGGTAGCCACACATCTGTAATCCCATTGTTAGGAAAGCAGGGGCTTCTAGTTCAGTGCCAGTTTGTGGTACCTGGTGAGTTTCAGGCCAGCCTGGGATACATAGAAAGAACTTGTGAGGCGAAATGGAAGTTATATTATTCATAAACTTGGCCATTAGAGAATCTATGCACTTAGGATGATCATAAACAAAAAAATCTTAAATTCAGCCAAGTGGTGAGGCACATGCCTTAAATCTCAGTACTGGGGAGGCAGATGCAGGTGGATCTCTTTGAGTTTGAGGCCTGCCTGGTCTACAGAGTGAGTTCCAAGACAGCTTGGAACTAAACAAACAAAAACTAAACAAACAAATAAAAATCTTAAATTCAGGGGCCAGAGAGATTGGGAGATTGTACTCTCTGTGAACCTGTGAGGCATTATCTTGATTATGTGAACCGATGTAGGGAGTTCCATCTTAATAATGAAATGGGTAACTTCCTTGGCAGGGGATGCTGGCCTGAATGAAGTGGAGAAGGGAAGCTGGTCCCTAGCTTTCATTAGTCCCTTTCTCTTCCCAGACTGTGATGCAATGTGACCAGCTCTCTGAGGCTGATGCAGCCTTGACTTCCCCACCAGGATGGACTCTGCCTTGAACTGTAAGCCCATCCCCACTCCAGCTGCCTTCCTTGGAGTTGTATCTTAGTTACATTTCTCTATTCCCTTTCTTCCCTCCAAATCTTCCCGTATATCTTTCCCCACTTTTCTTCAAAGCCATGACCTCATTTTCCATCAGTTGTGGTATTTTGTTCCAGCAATGAGAAAAGAAACCAAGATGCATACAAAACTGGGGAAAATAAAAATCGAGGGAATAGTAAGATAGCACGGTGGGCTTCTGAGTCAGAGACTGAGATTCAGAATGCCATGTTACTCTGTCTCACTAGCTTTTGTCTGGCTGATACTTAGAGCCTGAGTTATCTTGTCTGCAAAACGAAGAACTTGGGTCACTCTAGAAAATATGCAAAGGCAAACAGAAAACAAAACTGAAAAGTGGAAAAAGCATATAAGAGTAAACAGGGGGTCTTTATTAATTATGAAAATACTATTTGAGAAACATCACATAACTTTGAGAAGCTGAAGCAAATGAATGTTTTCATGACAAATTGAGCCTGACTCTAAGAGAGGTCATGAACTTGATATCCTCACACAATGATTCACCTGTGTCTGCATTTTTGGAGTTACAGGTGTGCTGCCACCAGATTTTATGTGAGTATTGTTAGTATTCAGGCAAATGGGGTTCTGACAGGATAAGCCCTCAGCTGCAGCCACTAAGAGCACTACCTGTGCATATTCACTACGTTCCCTTTCAAAAGGGCCCTGCCTGCCTCCCATCCTCCTCTCTTTCCCTCTCTCTGTCCGTCTGTTCCCCCTCTTTCTCCTCTCCTCTCTCTCACTCTTTCCTCTCTACTGCTGTTTCTGTCTCCAGAGGCTGGGTTCTCTAACCCTTTTCATGATCCCTTTCACTAATGTGAATCCCCTCTGCTTGAACCCTGTTGAATGGTGTCTTTCTCTCACACACAACTTTTCTTAAATTACAACATGTACTAGGGAGCTGAACCTGGGCCTTCATGCTTGTGAAGTAAGCACTTTGCTTAACGACCTCTCTCTCCAGCACATGACATATAATTTCTAAAAGTTAAAAGCATACCTTTAAAAAGAAAAATTGAAACAGTTAACCAGTGGGCATATCCTTCTAGATATTAAAGCATCATCATCAATAAATGGAATTGAATATTACTAACTCAGAGAGTGGCCTGCAGATCGACAGGATAGAGCAACCACCCTGAACTAGACTCTAGCATCATTCCCAGCTGAGTAAAAGAAACCCAGCAACAGCAAATTTTTTAAAAAGTGGAGAACGAAATAATATTCATCAAATAACTAGGAAAATTGATGAGCTCAAACCACAGCCTCACCATGATCACAGCCTCAAACCAAACAATAAAAACAGATGGATTAAAGAACCACACATAGATGAACCATTTTTAAAAATTAATGGCTCTCTGGTGAAGAAAAGGCATTCTAAGAAAAAAAAGCCATGCAAGTAATTACCAAGGAAACGCTAGACAGATTTTACTCTGACACCATTAAAACTGCTAAATGCTCTACCTCAGGAAATGTGACTCGAAACAATCAAATGACAAATCAGGAAAAGTTGTTGAAGCAGCAAGGCAGATGGAGGATATCTTTAAATGAACACAGAATGCCCTCGTTCAAATCAATAAATAAAATCCTAATACTGCAGGGATATACAGGCAAGAGCCACCCAGAACATGGAAAGAAATGCAAAGTCTAGTACACGTGAAATAAAAATGCCCTCATAACTAATCAAATGGATATGAGATTTATTTTATTCACCTACACGTGGCAAAATCCTCTATATATTTATTGATTGATGTGTGTGTGTGTGTGAAGTGTGGTTGTGTGTGTGATGTGTGTATGTGTGGTGTGTGGTGTGTATGTGTGTGTGTGTGTGTGTGTAGTGTAGTGTACCTATGCCACAGCAAATGTAACAGAAGATGGCAGAGGACAGCTCACAGAAATCAGTCTTCTTCTGTCACCATGAGTTCCGAGGGTCAAATTTCGGCTTGGCAGCAAGTGCGCACTGAGCCATCACCCTGGTTTACTTCCATAAAGAGCATGTTCTGTTAAAGCCTTGTGGAAAAGGCTCCCTCACAAATTGCTGCCCCCACTATGAACTCACACAAAATCTGGGCAAATTGATCTGCCACCGTCTACCTGGGTCACCAAATTGCTCCCTTCCTTTACTCCTCTAATCCCCTGCGGATGTATCCAACCTAGGAAAGTAATTGGAGACACAAATACAAAAGATAAGTACTGTGTTTTACTGTACAATGTTTATTGAGTCATTTTTATAATGTGGAGAGAGCAGAGGAGTCTATATCTTACCAGACTAGTAAAATTGGGTTTCCCTTCTGTTCCTTTGTGTGGTTTTAGTCCTCTTTTTTCTTTTGACCACTGTGTCTCACTAAGATGACCTGAAACTCTGTAGCCAAGTAGGCCTGGAGCAAGCAATCTGTTGCCTCGGCATCCTGAGTAGTTTAGATTATAGGCACATCTTATCAGGCCTGGAAAAACTACATTTTAAAGCAAATTTAGTTCTCAACTACTTAAAAAAATCTTTTAAACGAAGTATATGATTGGAGAAATGTTCTTGATAGGGTGACAGGATTCCAAACTCTAGTATTGCTCAACCATCTGAACACACGCTTGAGACTGTGGGTTCTAGAATCAGTCAGGCTGCATGAATCTGAAGCACAATCTGCCACGTACTAGTTTTGGCTATAGATAATTGACTTATGTAAACCTCAGTTTACCCACGTAAAAGATGGGGATAATGACAGTAGCTGCCTCAGTATGTTGAAACTATCAAAGTGTTATTTAGTGTTAAATATCTTCCACAGAATTGGTCCAGAAATGGAAGGCTTTACATTCAAACACTTAAGAATTAGATTGCATTAGGAATACAATTTGGAAACATTTTCATGATTTAAAGTGTACTATACACATTTCATCATATCTGGACCCAATTGTCTTCGTTGATGGGTCCTCTGGGACCACTACATTCCTCCTGAACCCTGTCTCTGCTCAGTGGGCTAGAGGAAAAAAACTGAACAGATGTCCTAGTCCTATTTGGGGTCTCAGATAGCAGATCTGACCCTTCCACACTCTCTACTTTCCAGCCTGTGTCTTGCACATTCCAAAGCCTTTCTTCCTAAATGGGAAAGTGATAAGGTCCCAAGATGGTGACCCCTTCAACCTGTTGATGGGGAAATAGATGAGCTAAGACTACTGCCTACCTGGGACAGTTTCAGGTCTCCTGAATGAGGAGTCCAGCAAGCCCGCGGTAGCAGACCTTGAGAAGACTCTTCAAAACTGTGTGAAACCAGGATCTGCAGAAATGAACTGACCAAAGGAGATGAAGAAGTTGGAGGGGTGTGTGGAGGGAGAAAGCGTCTGCCCTCCCCAAGGCCTAGTGCAGAGACTTTGCAGAGGTGGAATTTCTTCCTATTCTTATTCAAATGTGTCAATGAGGAAGAATTACAGAGACAGACATGGAGCTACTGTTGGAAGAAGCAGGGATGAAGGGGAGAAGGAGGGTGTAGATGGAACCCCAAATGTAGAACTTTGTTGTGAGCAAAGCCAAGCCATTCTTGGAATACATGAAGCCAACATGCCACCATCCAGAACAATTACTCCTCTGAGGCACAAAAGGCATACACTTCCCAAGTGGTCAACACATAATGTGGCCTGAGACCTGAACTTAGGTACTTTTTTGGGGGCCACAGCGAGGGTCTGCAACTGTCAGCCCTCTGTGAAGACACATAGAAAAGCTGACATAATCTGGGGCTAGGACTATCAAACAGCTAAGGCTCAAGCTGTTGTCATTTGTTACATCCCTGTAGAAAGTCTTAGTGATCAACAAGATGTCCTGCACAAAAACAATCAGGTACAGTAGCTTAAATAAGATAATGGCAATAGGATACAGCAATGGGCAGACTTCGAGGCAGTTTTCTTGATCTAAATCTATCAGCAGTAGTTTTCCTCTCTCTCTCTCTCTCTCTCTCTCTCTCTCTCTCTCTCTCTCTCTCTCTCTCTCTCTCTCTCTCTCTCTCTCTCTCTCTCTCTCTGGAATACCCAGGTGTTACATATGTCAGAGTCACAAAAAAGTGCCAAAAGGAAAAATTATCCAGCTTAGAGTTTTCTCACTATCCAAGCTACAATCTGAGCATCAAACAAAAAAAAAGATAATTGTGGTTAATGGAAATAGGATGAGTTTGTGGAAGGTCTTAATTTCATAATGATATTCAGAAAGAAACTTAATTTGAACTATGCTATAGGTAATTAGGATGAACACAGAAGTTTGGCTCTAAAAGGATATGTTTAATCTTTTATTAATTTTAATGAGAGGTGGTTAATATAAATTGGTATTCTATTTCTTCTACTAAATCTTCTTGGTTTTTAAAAATTATTGAATCTTGTTTCTATCTGCCTAAGTATGAGGAGAAATATAGCAGGAAACAGTTAGGCACATTGCGTTGGGAAAACAGACAGAAATGCCAGGAGAGAAAATGAGCACCAGTGGATTCAACACAAACCTAGACAAAGTTTCAAAACTGAATTCTAAGAGAAGGAGTTTGTTAAATGTTCTAAAGGGGAGGGGCCTCTAGCAGTATCTCAATTCCACCTTTCCCAGCGTGAGGACTCTAGTTGGCCCAGGGCTGTGTGACTTTTCCTGGGAAGATATGAACAAGCCTCTACTTACCCCAGCTTGAACACAAATGACCCACCGAAGTCACAAGTCAATCCAAGTCTAGCACACTAAGACAATAAATACTTCTAGGATCATAAGTGAATGATTATCTAATAAGAAGCATGATGATTTAGGAATCTGTGTTACTAGCAAGCTCATGCCAGCATAGGTAACAGCTCCTAAAAGTGGCATCACTATAGAGTTCTCTACACAACCTGTGGGCAACTCCACCAGAGAGCCTTTTCTGCCCTATCAACTGCCTGATGCTTGTTGTTTATATCATCTTATGAAGACCACTCTGGTTCCAATGACTTTCTTAGAACTGTTGTGAGCCTCTGCCTTTCCTCTCCAAGGAATGTTTCAACCCAGAGGAGACAGCTACTTAAATGCCCATTAAATATAATGAAGACCGTCCAGACACTATACATTTGTGTTTGTGTTTGTGTGTTTTGGGTGGGGGAATATTTCAGCTTATAGCTTACAGGAGCTTGGTCAGGGCAGGAACTGGAAAAGGGGAGTTCCATGTTGCTTCATGTTGGTCTTCACTGCTCCCTTATTTTGGTTTCTTTTCTGTTTTATTTTTTCTTTTATTCAAAATAGATTCTTTTCTCATGCAATATATCCTGATTATAGTTTCCCTTCCTTCTGTTCCTCCCAGTTCCCCTACGCCACCCCTCCTCTCCAGATCCACTCCCTTTCTGTCTCTCATTAGAAAAGAACAGGCTTCTAAGAGATAAACACTAAAGAGGACAAAATAAAATATGATAAGGTAAAGTGATAACTATTATATTGACATTGAACACAGCAACCCAAAAGGAGAAAAAAGAGTCCCAAGAGCAGGCATGAGTCAGAGACCCACTCATTCTCAGTCAAGAGTCCCATAAAAACACTAAGCTAAAAGCTATTTTATATATATATGCACATATATACACATAAATTATATAAATATATAATTGTTGCAGGCCTGTGCTTGGTGCTTCGGTGTCAGTGAGCTCACATGTACCTTGCTTAGTTGATTCAGAGGGCTTGTTATCCTGGTGTCCTCCATTCCCTTTGACTCTTACAATTTTTCCACACCCTCTTCTGTGGGATTCCCTAAGCCATGAGGTTGACAGAGAACTTCAGAGTAGCCTCTCTCTTCACATCATGTTTGGTTATGGAGACATGCATCTGTTTCCATAGACAGCTATAGAAAGCCTCTCAAATGGTGACTGGATAAGGCATTGATCTACAAGTATAGCAGAATATCATTGGAAATCATTTAATTTTACCCTAGGTCTCTTGGCTATCTGGTCTCCGGTTCTTGGTTCCAGTGTCAGGCATGGGCTCTTCTCATAGAATGGGCCTTAAGTCAAACCAGACATTGTGGGCTACTTCCACAGGTTCTGTGTCACCATTGCCCCAGCATATTTTTTTGGGCAGGACAGATTGTAGGTCAAAGGTTTTATGACCATGTTTTCCTTTCAGTAGCCTACAGAGTACCATCCTACACCAAAGATTCTAGAACATAAGGGTGAAGGCACCAGCTCAACTTTTCATGTTTAATGAGTTGTATGGTTGTTGTCCTTGATGGTGGGGCCCTGCTGTCAGTGTGTGGAGAGAAATGCTTTGTCTTAGCATCAGCCTGGGTTGTTTGCAGATTTCCATGGAACCCCCTTGGCCAAAGCTAAGTTGAATTCAATTCAGTCCCACCACTGGAAGCCTTGCCACTCTACATTTAAAGTAATGCTAATAATCCAGACCCAATTATTATAGGAGTACATAGGAGTAAGTTGATGGCTATGTCATGCAGGCCAAGAAAAGCAGCAACATTTCTTGGGAAAGCTCTAGATCATTAAACACCAAAACAATACACATAGAATGGGCTTAAATATTTTTCAATTGACATAGACATATCAAGATTATCTTTAAAAGAAAAACTATAAATCTGGTATCCATGTGTGTGTCTTGGGATAATGTACACAGGCTCATGCTCTAGTAAGTAGGTCAACCAAATCCTGTGACCGTGGCTGTTCCTTTAATTCTTAGCAGAGATAAGAAAAATTGAACTGAGATAGA